AGGCTTCATTATTGTGTTTAGTATTTGAGAACTCATTACGTATGTCACAAAAGTGTTTCGGGTACTGTAAATGATTTAAATATACCAAAGATAGTTAAATAACATACAATTTAAAATATATATTCAAAAAAGTAAATTAAATGTATTTTTTTCCCCCATTTCTTACCTCACATTCTTAAGTGACGATCAAGGACAAGCCTAAACATATCCCTTTGAAACATAGCCGGGCCGAACCCATGTTTTACCTATGCACATGTAAACATCTTTATTTTTATTAAATAAATTGCCTGTCATTCTACAACACAAAACCACTAGTAAAGGGTTTTCTTAAAGATATACGTATCTGGTATTACTATGAACCCATTCTCGCTTACATCAATCAGGGCTCTATCTGCGGATTTGAGAATTTCTCTGGTTAAACTAAGGATTGTGGAATACATTGGTCTCCATGAAAAAAAGAAACCATAGTATTTATGTTTCGTCTCCTTCTTTAATTTTTCCAAAACGTACAATATTCTTTATTATTCGTTCTGACAAGCTGGTTATTATCAAACTGAGAATAAGTTTGTATAAATTATTAGTGAGTTAATAATGTATAATCAATGTTTGTATTGTTTATCGCACATCTAATATAGAATACTGGCACATCTCGAAATAAGCAACATTTCAGGAGAAGCAAAATAAGACAAGAATTGTAATTAATTGACAGTTTTACGTATAAGAGCAAACATTTCTAAAAAAAATTTACTTGAATTAGTATATTTTGAGATAAAAAACGCTCATATCTAATTTACTATATTATACGCCATGCTCTTTTCTCTAATCCAACCATAAACAATGTGACTTGATTCCAGTGGTCTCTGTGTGTCCAAAATGTCAAGCAAAGAAAAAGAGGGATCTTCACGAAGTCCAAACCGGGATACTTTCACACATGAACACCATTGTTCGGTTTTTCTCCAGCAATTTGGCGGGAGATTGGCGTAGTTTGGCGCGAACGTGACGGTTGGCAGAACTGCGCGTGGCTGGTAACATTGAGGCACACGACACGCTTGCCAACCACCACTCGTCTCGACACAAAGGAAGGGCGTTAGGCGTTAGTAGTTCACTGTAATTACGACGTTGTTGTTGGCTTACAAAATATGTTTTGCAATATCATAAAGGTCATAAAGGTGCAAAAGTCTTATAATTTAATGTGTTCCAATGGTGTGACGTAATCGTGACTTTAGTTTGTGATGAATTTGGAGAGCTTTGACAGCTACTCACTTTTCGATCTTTTGTTACTCATTAACACAAACTGAAATTAATTATAGATTTGTATCACATGTAATGGTTCTCTAATCAGGGGAACAAGCTGGTGTATTGGTAGAGCGTCCCCAAATACTGAGGCCCCCAAAACTTCATGTTCAAAATCAAAGATGCTCAGGCCTAACCTGGAGTAGTCTGTAAAACATTTCTGAACTAAACTAAAGCTGAGAGTCAAGAGACAAAATACTATACAGGTGGATCGTCTTTCAAGATTACTCAATATTTACACTTAAACTGTAAATATACAATATGGTACATGAATATTGTACCCCTGCCGCAGCAAACCTACAGACTAAGCGAATTTCAACTTGTCTGATTACATTTTTACTAAAATATTTCCATAAATAAGACATATTTATTCCCAATTTAGATAACATTAGATTTAACGAGTGCTTAGGTTTGCTGCTACGGGGTTGAATATAACTGGAGATGGTAGTTGCTGGTGACTGTTCATGTTGAGTTGCTGAGGTTGAATATAACTGGAGATGGTAGTAGCTGAAGGTGGCAATATACAGAGGTGATGGTTGCTGAAGATATGAGACCTTACAGTGGTTGCTATTGTTTGGTTGGTTGCAGGTTTGGTTTTAGCTGATTGCAATATTGACTTCAGTGGAGATTGGTCTTTATTATTTTATTTTTTTATTTATTTTTTTTATTGTTTAAACGGACCGACTTGTGCCTTCGGACCGGCACGGCATGTGCTTTAGGTTTGTACGTGAAAAACCGGCTTATGCCTAGGTGCTAGACATATATATATATATGGATTTGAACGGATGGTGTTTTTGGCCTCTGGGGACCTCAAAACGAAAAAGTAAATCAATCCCGGGTCTAGATCTTACCATGAGACCTACGGTAATAGCTTATTCCCTATATGGGAAATTCGCTAAAAAAGACACTGGCTATTGATTCTACCAGTTCCACCCGTCATAACTAGTCCCATATCGAGAATACAGAAAGTAAAAATGACTGGTCTGAATAATATTTGCCAAGGTATCTACATAAATTCCATGTAGATATTTTTAACCTGTTGCTTAAATCTCAAAACTGTTCTGTAATAAATATATATGAATTGAATTGAATACTTAAAATTAGTTCCATCTTACAACTTTTATTAGAGTTGAAACCTACTTCATTAAAAAATCTACCATGATATAAAAACAGGTATTTTCTATTTTGTGTTTAAATGTGTCTAATGTAATTTTACAAAATATTGTATTTCAGTAATTATTAATCTTTTTCGCAATACGAATTTCATTTTATTTTGTTGTTTGCATATAAATAGGATGTAAGAATCAAACCAGTATAATAAATTCAAGATTTTAAAATGACAAAGTAATTAACGAAAAAATTGATGATTCTTTCAAAACTGACTACTTGAAATGTTACTTTTTTTTATTTCTGAGTCACTCGTACACGACATTGTATTGCATGCTGAAACAATTAGCATTTTTAATCAATTTTACAGTTTATTAATTTAAGTATTTAATAAAAATTTTCAATATTCTATTAAATTTAAGGTAAAATATATCAGTTAGCGATAATTGCATCAGATTCTTCTAGAGAAAGATGTTTTTACAACTATTTTAGCAACATGGATTATTGGTATTTTTCATGGGCATTATACAAACATAGAAATACAGAGTACCATTGGAACAAATGTTTCAGCTCATGCACTTACTTCTGAACACTCTGTACCTCAAAATAATATGGTGACAAAACTCAGAGTAAAAGATACCCAAACGTTGAGTTATAACGACATCTAATGCACCTTGTAATTAAATTCATGGCCTTACAAACCAAATGAATCAAATAATTCACTAAGACTACCTTAAATTCATGCCAGGGTTGCATTTGATTTAGATAATTTATTACACAGCAAATAATTAAATATAATACAATTTCTTCGTTTAAAAATGTATATACGATTAGTCTATATATAAATTAAAACTTGTAGATTAAATAAATACAATAATTTTGGTTGGAGATAGTTAAAGCTTTTACAGAATTCCACAACTGTTCAAAAATATTTATGTCAACTGCTTTAGTACTATTAGTCACTGACTTCTTATGGTCATACTGCACTAGAATTCTCATCCTTTTAAAATCTTAAAACTTTTTCTGGGTTTTATATACAGTTACGTTTGTATGCCCTACTTTTGACTAAGATATGTAATTTCCTCTAATTTTGGTCAGATATGATACTATGCACATTATTTCAACTCTAATGGCAGAGGACAATTAATAAATATAACTTAATAAATATTATATTTTATTCAGCTTGAACAGGATTAAACTTAACAAAATAAATAAATAAAGTAAATAAATGCGTGTTAAGTATGACAACAAAATATACACATTAGTAGTGGCAATATGATGGTTTAACATCACTTTAGGCACGTTTTCCCCATAAGAATAACATGGTGAGCTTTTTTTGACCACTTTTTTAAAAATCCAGCTCTCGGCCTATACAAGCCTATATAAATGTTCAATACCATTGTATAACACTATTACTATTTCAAATCCACATCCATTCACAAAATCATCAACTTGACAGTGCGAGGTTTGCACGCGAACTCGTGCGCGCTCCCCCATATAAAATGCATGCTACCCATATAAAATAATGTTAAATTTTTTTCTTACTTTTTGATTTTTTGATGTTGTAATATTGTTTATAATCAAAAGTTGACACCCACTACGTTTGCCAGAATTTCAACTGTTTTGCCGTATCTCAAGCCGTTTTCGAGATATAAGCGTTTTTAGATAGTTTTTACGGACTTAGACGATTTTTCATGGTAAATTTTATTCCTACCCATATAAAATAATGTTAAATTTTTTTATTACTTTTTGATTTTTTTATGTTGTAATATTGTTTATAATCAAAAGTTGACACCCACTACGTTTGCCAGAATTTCAACCGTTTTGCCGTATCTCAAGCCGTTTTCGAGATATAAGTGTTTTTAGATAGTTTTTACGGACTTAGACGATTTTTCATGGTAAATTTTATTCCTACCCATATAAAATAATGTTAAATTTTTTTCTTACTTTTTGATTTTTTTATGTTGTAATATTGTTTATAATCAAAAGTTGACACCCACTACGTTTGCCAGAATTTCAACCGTTTTGCCGTATCTCAAGCCGTTTTCGAGATATAAGCGTTTTTAGATAGTTTTACGGACTTAGACGATTTTTCATGGTAAATTTTATTTGTACCCATATAAAATAATGTTAAATTTTTTTCTTACTTTTTGATTTTTTTATGTTGTAATATTGTTTATAATCAAAAGTTGACACCCACTACGTTTGCCAGAATTTCAACCGTTTTGCCGTATCTCAAGCCGTTTTCGAGATATAAGCGTTTTTAGACAGTTTTACGGACTTAGACGATTTTTCATGGTAAATTTTATTTGTACCCATATAAAATAATGTTAAATTTTTTTCTTACTTTTTTATTTTTTTATGTTGTAATATTGTTTATAATCAAAAGTTGACACCCACTACGTTTGCCAGAATTTCAACCGTTTTGCCGTATCTCAAGCCGTTTTCGAGATATAAGCGTTTTTAGACAGTTTTACGGGCACTGTCACAAGGGTCAAGTGAAGTGGTCACGAGACTGGGGAATCCTCAGGTGGTGACGTCACCGGGGACGAGTCTATATATAGAAGTGGCATCCGGGTGATATTTCATTCTCGAGCGTGATGCCGACCTGTCAACACCGCTCCGCCTCGCTGTCCAAGAAGAGCAATTTGGTCCGCCACTACAAGCTAGTACATCAAATGAAAGTGAAACTGTGCAAGGTATGTGATTTAATCTGTGATGATAATGTGGTTCTAAAATCGCATATATTACAAAGTCATAAGAATTGTAATTTTTGTAAGAAAAATGTGGTTGGTCATTTTAAAAGACATGTCAATTCTTGCAATAATTGTCCATATACAATGATTGAATTTGTTGGTGAATCGATTAGAACTGAACTTAAAAATACTCTTCAGTCTTGTCCTCTGCCAATAAAATGGACTTTAGTAAGGAGAATTAAATTTATAAAATATTCAATGGATCAAAGTGGACAATTAGTTAATGAAAAAGAATGTATTGCAGATTTTAGAAGCCTTACTACCTTAACTATTGAGAAAAGAGATTTAAAGCCTCAAATTGAAAATGCACTTTTAAAGATTGATGCTTCCATACACAAATACCAAGCCCAAGGCAGTGGATGGATATATGACCATACTAAGTATTGGCAGTTGCATGTTTACAAATATAAGCCCTTAACTCCAAAGTCATATATTCCCACACCAGAGAGTATTAAATCGAAACATGCAGTTTTAAATATAAAAAATGATGATAATAAATGTTTTCTTTGGTCGGTATTAGCAGCTTTATATCCAAGGAACTCTAATGAAAATGCTAATAGAGTCTCCAGCTATGCACCCTACATAGGTCATCTGAATATGACAAACATAAAGTATCCTGTGAAAATATCTGATATAGATAAATTTGAAAGACAAAATAATATAAGCGTTAATGTATTTGGGGTTGAAGATGATAAATGTATATATCCATTAAGAACAACCAAACTAAATAGTAATACTCACATCGATTTATTATTATTACAAGAAGGTCGTAAATCACATTACTGTTTAATTCGTGATTTTGATAGGTTAATGTTCCACTCTACAAAACATATGAATAAGAAGCATTTTTGCAAGTTGTGTTTGCAACATTTTTACACTAGTGATAAATTAGAACGTCATATAACATATTGTAAAAACTTTGATGCCCAACGAGTGGAAATGTCGAAACAAGATACATTACAATTTAAAAATTATAAATATCAACTTAAAGCCCCATTTGTAATTTATGCTGATTTTGAGTGCTTTATAAACTCTAACAACCATATTCCATCTGGATTTGCATTTGTTGTAGTGAGAGATTCTAAGATTATTTCTGAAGAGTTATATAGTGGTGCAAATGTTATGGATGTATTTTTCAAAAGGTTATTTGAGACTTATGACTTCATTAAACGTCAAATGTCGATATATATTCCTCTTGTAATGACTCCTGAACAAGAGGCATCTTTCCAAAACTCAACGCATTGTCATATTTGTGAAAAACCCCTATATTTTGATAGGGTGCGAGATCATTGTCATTCATCTGGCCGATACCGTGGAGCTGCCCACAATGATTGTAATTTAAACTATAAAGTAACAAAGAAAATCCCAGTATTCTTCCATAACTTGAAAAATTACGATGGACATTTAATAATGCAACACTTGGGAAAATATGATCGTAAATTAAATTGCATAGCCAAAGATATGGAAAAGTACATTTCATTCTCTGTTGATGATTTAATATTTTTAGATTCCTATAACTTTCTGTCACTTCCATTATATAAATTGGCTTCCAATTTAAATACATTTAGATTCATAGACAATCCTCTACTACAGTGTAAAGGCGTATTTCCCTATGAATATATGACGGGACCAGATAAGTTTGCAGAGTCTCTACCCCCAATTGAAGCATTTTACAGTACTCTAACTAAAGAACATATCTCTCCCATTGAATATGAACATGCTAAAAATGTCTGGACCCATTTTAATATAAATAATTTACAAGAATATCATGATTTATATCTTAAAACAGATGTATTGCTACTGGCTGATGTCTTTGAGACTTTTAGAGACCTGTGTTTAAAGGATTATAAACTTGACCCCGTACATATGTATTCACTTCCTGGATTAACATGGGAGGCCTGCCTTAGAATGACTGGTATAAAATTACAATTATTTCAAGATATTGACATGCATTTGTTCATAGAAAGTGCAATCAGAGGAGGAGTCAGTATGATTTCCACACGTTATGCTAAAGCCAATAATAGATATATGGGTGAACACTATGATCCCAATCAAGAGAGTGTGTATTTAATATATTTAGATTGTAACTCGCTATACTCTACAGCAATGTGCGAGCCACTGCCTGTGGATGAATTCCGTTGGACTAATGAGATAGACTACAAATACAATCAAAATTATGAGTTTGGTTACATTTTAGAAGTTGATTTAAAATATGATAAAAGCTTACATGATTTACATAATGACTATCCATTGGCACCAGAGAAAATGAATGGGAAATTAATACCAAATTTAAAAGACAAAACTAAATATATTTTACATTATAAAGCATTACAAAAATATGAGGAATTGGGGTTGGTTGTTACAAAATACCATAGAATTTTAAAATTTAGACAATCAAAATGGCTTGCACCCTATATTAATTTTAATATTGAAAAACGAAAAAGTGCTAATAATGATTTCGAAAAAGACTTTTACAAATTGTTAAATAATAGTCTCTTTGGTCGAACAATTATGAATCAACGAAAGTTCCGTGACATATATCTCAAGGATGAGTCACTATTAACAAAATATGTCACTAATCCAAGGTTTGACTGTAGCAAAAAGTTCGATAACAATTTACATGCTATACATTTAAATAAATTAGTTGTAAAGTTTAATAAACCAATATATTTAGGAATGACAATTTTGGATATTAGTAAAGTAATAATGTATGATTTCCACTATAATTATATGTCAAAATTTAAGAATAAAAGATTTCTAATGACAGATACAGATTCATTAATGTATGCTATAGTTACAGAGGACTTTTACAAGGAAATAGAATGTGACTTGCACTATTTTGATACCTCTGGATATAGTAAAGACCATTTCTTATACTCTGATAAAAATAAAAAAGTCACTGGAAAGTTTAAAGATGAATTAGGTGGTCATATTATGTATGAATATTGTGGTTTAAGACCAAAGTTATATTCTTACATTCCTCTAAAATGGTTATATGAAGAAGACAAGCAAGCTTTAGAGGTGAAGAAAGCTAAAGGAGCTGATGGTGCCACTGTTAAACATCTCCTCAGACATCAACATTATTTGAACTGCCTTGCAACTGGGCAAGATTACTATGAGAATGTGACAAGAATTAAATCTACAAATCATCATCTTCAAACCTTGACCATGAATAAGAAAGTACTATCCTTTGACGATGACAAGAGGTTTATTCTGGAAGATGGTATCAATACTCTTGTGCTTGGTCATTATAAAATTGATCAAACATAGTTATGTTCAAATGTATGTAGATATATAATAAATACAAATGTTAAAAAACTCCAGTCTTTTATTTATTTACCCTTACCATCCTCTTGATAGAATTGGTCAAACATAAATCTATATTTGCCATTATTCTTTGACCTTTCTTTGTCTATTACGAAAAAGCCATATTTAGTTTTATCCCAACATTGATGACAGAGATTTTTAAATTGGTCAAATGAAAAGTCATTACCAACATGATTGTGATATACATGTTTTAAATTTAAATCATCTTGTTTGAATAATATTAGGAAATTTACATTATCACGTAAATGTTTGTGTACTTTGCTGTAAGATTGACACAAGTAAAAACAGTTAATATTTTTGTGTCGACCCATTGAGAAAAATTGTGTAATATTTGGACTATTTATGTCATCAAATACAACAACTGACTGTGGTTTTACATCATTTGGTGTGATTTCACAGTCAGTAAACGTGTGTAATTTCACTTCGTCACACAAACTAAATATTTCAATTATTTTTTTATATTTTTCTTGTTCTAAAGATTTAGATATTAAATATAAGTTTGTAAATTTTAATCCTTCCTTTCTTACAATTAAATTGTAAATTACAACCGTCTTCCCACTTCCACTTGGACCACAAATAACACATCGAATATTGGTAGGAAATAGACCCAACTTCTTTGGTATATTTTCCTTAGTATGTACTATTTTAAATTTATGTTTTTGTTGAATAAAAGACATTTTTTATATAATAAAAATGGTAAAAAATGATAAGAAAACATGTAAAAAGGGCAAAGGTCTATTCCTAAAGCCTTACAGGGGTCGAGGGTTATTGAATACTCTTATAAATAACCTTCCATTCCCACTTCACATACCATCATATCAGTACTGTGGACCTGGAACGAATATACGTGGGAATCTAGCCAAAAATGTACCGCCAAAAAATAAACTAGACTCTTATTGTAAAGAGCATGATATATTCTACATGAATAATCCTGATACCGCTGCTCGGAACAAAGCAGACATGAGATTAGCAGACTTAGCTTGGACTAGAGTTACGGCCAAGGACTCAAGTCTTGCTGAAAAAGCTGCTGCTTATGCCGTGACAAATTTGATGAAGGCAAAAGCAAAAATGGGAATGGGATTAAAATTTAATAAAAAAGATGGACAACTACCAGCTGTTAGAGGCCGCAAAAGACGTGCCTCACTTCAGGGGGGTGTACCTAAAAAACGAGCTAAAAAATCTAAAACCAAGAGTAAAAGAGTGCGGAATAGTTAATTTGGATAGCTCATCTGGCACACATTGGACAGCATATCGTAAAAATAAAGATATTGTAATTTATTTTGACCCATTTGGAATCCAACCTCCAAAAGAAGTAATTAAATATTTTGAGGGATATAAAATCTTCTATACAACCGATCAAATACAAGATTTAAATAGTTCTATTTGTGGAATTTTATGTTTATCATTCATAAAAAATTTTTGTTTATAAAAATGGATTCATTTACTATAACATTTTCGGGTACAGAGCCAGAGCTTAAGTCAGTGTTCTTTCCTCCCATAGAATTAAATGATGATTATGTAATTGGATTAGTAGATTTTCAAAGTTATAATTCTATATTTAATGTTAAAAAAACCTCTAAATACTTTAACATATTATAAAGTAGAGAAAAAAACAT